TTTTTAAACTGAAGGGAAGTGATTCCAGATGACAACCTGAAGCTGCAGGAAGAAAATAAAAGCACTGGAAAAGTTAAATATGTGGAAAAAATTAAAAGACTAAATTTTTAAAAAATTTATTTTACAAAAACATACAGAACAAGGGGCCGGCCTGGTGCCGCAGCAGATAAGTTTGCACATTCTGCTTCGGTGGCCTGGGGTCTGCTGGTTCAGATCCTGGGTGCGGACTTGGCACCGCTCATCAAGCGATGCTGTGGTAGGTGTCCCACATATAAAGTAGAGGAAGATGGACACGATGTTAGCTCAGGGCCAGTCTTCTTCAGCAAAAAGAGGAGGATTGGCAGCAGATGTTAGCTCAGGGCTGATCTTCCTCAAAAATAATACATGTATACAGAACAATATGCTGTGGAGTTTATAATGTATAGAAATGCAGGACAAAATATTACAAAAGACAGGAGAGTAAGTGGAATTACATTGTTTCAAGGTTGTTACATTGTGAAGTATAATTCATTTTATGGTAATTAAGGTAGACTGTGATACTTTAAGAACGTATATCATAATCTCTAGAGTACCACAAAAACAATACAAAGAAGTATAGCTAAAACCTCAATAAAGTAGATAAAAAAGGCACACTAAGAATGACGTAGAGTTCAGTGACAGTGTTTGGAGGTAGTAGATGCAGGAGATTAGGTTAAATATGGTAGCTTGGATGTTAGATTATGAAGAGCCTGTTATATTATGCTAAGGAGTTTGTATCTCTTGCAACCAGCAGTGAGTTATTGAAACTTTTTAGGTAGAAGATGAATATCATGTTATTTACAAAATTAACCTGTAGAACATTATGACTCCTACCATAAATTTTGTCTTACTGTGTAAGAGATGTTATGTTGAATTAAGGTTTGAGGGAAGGGAAGAGACTTGACATAGATTTGAGATTTCTGAGGTAGAATGGATAGGCCTAGATGACTTACGCGATATTGACAGTATGAGGTAGAGGGATGAATCAATTAAATCTAGAGTATCTGCCTTTGGAAGCTGTTGGATGTCAGCGTTATATGAGAATTGAGGAAAGGTGTGGTATCAGACTGAAGGAGGAAGATAGTGAGGTCTGGGTGTGATTGATTGGAGGTGTCTTCGGGCTGTGAGGAGGGCTGATGATGAATAAACATCTATATGTAACTCTATGCTGGAGGTCTTAGATACATATCCTAGTCAATTCTAAGATGCACCTTTTGTCACATTTTGACATCCCTAAAAACAGTTGTGGCTTATAATTAATGGCCTCCCCAAATCTGTTTTGGACAGGCAATTTTCTGTATTACTGGTGATTTATGCATTCATTGGAGGAATAAACAATTTCATATTTTCTTGCAAAGCAACAAACAAATGCTTCTGAGACCCAAAAAAGGGAAAATAGCCACAAGTAAATAAAGCTGTGTTAAGTGCAAAAGGATTGCTATCAAATGCCAAGCGTTGGAATTGAAGAAACCAGAGAAAATTGGAATATCTGTGGGGCTAGATAAAAGAAATTTCAAAAAGATGAGAGGCTGGTATGACCAGTTTATGTGTTTCAGAAAACTGTGTTAAGGCGTTGTGTCATGGTTTAATTGGCATGTTTTTTTCTTTTTTAGAGGTTCATGAAAGTGTGGTGTTTCTTACAGCTTTGATAAAAGAATCCTTGGCATATGGGTGGTAGTGGAAGCTGTGGCAGCGGAGGGGATACCTAGAGAACATAGAGTGAGATGAGAAGAAGGTGTAAGAGAGCTCTGAGAATAGTGTCTAATGTGGATTCTGGTGTGAGTGTTCACTCCTGTTTAGAGTGCATGCCTCTCCTGATCGCTGAGCGCATGCACTCCTTGACCTCTGTCAACTTTACCTCACAGCTTGACGGTGACCTATTTACTTTCCTAAGGCAGAGAATAGTAGCACCACAGTGTGACCAGTGAGGAATACCACGGTGTTCCAAGGACTTTAGTTCTGAGTGTGGAAGTGACATGTGCACTTAGGCCAAGGAAATAACCTACATAAAGCTGGAGGAAGGCAAAAAAAAATTTGTAATTGTTGGTAATGTAATGTGCTGATGAAGCACCTGATCAAGAGAAAAGAAGCAGAAAAACATCATGTGAGCAAAGTAGAAATACAGGTTTACCTCTGGTCCTTTCCACAAATATCTTTTTTTCCCTTACCTTGTTTTATTTTTTCTATATTTTAGTAAATTCTCTTTCAAAATTACAAAAATACCATGTATCCTATAACTAAATACAGGGTTTATTCTTATTACCTATTTGTCTTGTTTTTGTTCTTCTGTGCATTCATTCATTTGTTCATGTATTCAAACTTTTTTTTTTTTTTTTTTTTTGGTGAGGAAGATTAGCCTTGAGCGAACATCTGTTGCCAATCTTCCTCTTGTTGCTTGAGGAGGATTGTTGCTGAGCTAACATCTGTGCTAGTCTTCCTCTGTTTTTTGTGGGATGCTGCCACAGCATGACTTGACGAGCAGTGCTAGGTCTGCATCCAGCATCCGAACCTGCGAACCCCGTGCCACTGAAGCAGAGCAGGCTAACTTAACCACTACACCACTGAGCTGCCCTCTCAAGAATTTTTTGTTACGTGCCTACAGGTTATTAGTCATTGTTTGAGGTGCTGGGGATGTAATGGCAAACATGGTAGACAGTCACTTGCTCTCATGCTTCTTGTGTTCTAAGAGGGGAGGCAGATACAAGTCTTTTTAAATATTGATAATTTATAGGAAGAAATAAAACATGGTTTCAGTTTGGGAGAAACAACCTTTGATAGGGCATTCAGGCATGGATTGTCTAAAAAGATGATGCTTAGGTTGAGATCTGAGGATCGATAAAGGAATTAGCCACGCAATGGGTAGGGGAAAGAACATGTGCAGAAGCCCTGAGGTAGAAATAAGTCTGGAGTGTTGGAGGAACAGAAGGAAGGACATTGGTAGGAAAGGAGATTGCCGTAGTCAAGGTTACGTAGGGCCCTGTACACTTTATCTCGTTTTATTCCCGAGCCCGATACTCCAGTTGTCCAGTATTAATTACTACTAATAGTTTAAAACATTGAGTTCCAGGCTATTGTTAGGCTTTTCCCTACATCATCTCTGTTTCATTTCAGGAATCCTTATTTAACAGTTACATTGCAAATGCAAGCCACATTGTCATCTTCTCTTTACATTTAGCTCTTAAGATTCTTTGTTCGTGAAGATTATTTTCTCATCTTCTCTTGTCATGAAGTCTGTTTTCATGTAATTGTCATTTGGTTAGTGTTCGTCTCCACTATTTTCATCAAATATACTTGGGTGATTTACTTCCGAATCCTTGCAAGTCCAAAAGTGTGTTCATTTTGCCCTTGTACGTATCTTGACTGGGTGTAGGTTTCTTAGGTACCCCTCAATAGTTTGTAGACTGTCTTCTGGTGTTATAGGTAAGAAATTTGGCGCTGATCTTTCTTCACAAGGAACTTGTTCTGTCTGGAAGTTTGTACAGTTTTTTCCTTGTCCTTAAAATTTAGGATTTCCAGTGAAATGTGGTGTCTTTTTTTTTTTTTTTTTTTTAATATTCCTACTTGTAATGCAATAAGCTCTTGGAATCTGCACTCGAGCCTTTAACTCAAGAGAATTTTCTTCTGTTATTTATTTAATTACATCTCCATTTGTTTCTTTTTCTCTTCCTGGAACTCCTGATTTTATTCTAGGCTTTCTAAGTCTTATATTTCCTGCATGATTGCCATTTCTTTGTGTTTTTTCCACTTTGCTGTTAGCAGATCACAGATTGACCTATTGTAGCAACTTTCAGCCTTTTTGACTCTGATTCACAGTAAGAAATACATTTTACATAGCAACCCAGTTCATACAAAGCTAATTAAAGCAAAAATTTCGTGAAACAACATATACCCTTACTATAGGGTATGATGCACCCTATTTTCTATTCTCATTTAGTCTATTCTAGACTTTTTATTTTATTTTTAAAATCTTAGTTGCTATATACTAAATCAGTAATTCTCAACCAAGGGCAATTTTGTCCCCTAGGGGACATTTGGCAATGTCTGGAGACATTTTTGATGGTTACAGCTGCGTTACATGCTACTGGCATCTAGTGGGTAGAGGCCAGGGATGCAGCTACACATCCTACAATGCACAGGACAGCTCCACAACAAATGTCCATAGTGCCAAGGTTGAGAGACTCTATACTAAATTGATTTTTTGACTCCTCAGTGCTTTGTTTCTAAACCCTGGCTGTATAGTCATTAGAATCACATGAGGAGATTGATTTAATAAGTCTGGATTAGCTGGTCACTCGTACTTTTAAGAGTTCCTCAGTGTTTGAAAAACACAGACTTATGATATATGGCCATGAGAAAACACCTAGTCCTAATTTCCTGTTTTTTTTCCAACAAGACCTAATTATTAACCTGGTATTTAAGCAGTGTAATTTTTAAACCTTTATTCAACTTTTTAGTTAAATAAATTCACAATTAATACAAGACCTTTGGTTAGATTATCCTGTGTTTTGAATATTTGTTGTTGTTCAGAAGATGAGGATAAATTAAACCAGGCAATTAGATATTACTTCAGATAAGAATTTTTAGTGGAATAATTAAGGTTAACAAATATGTTCTGTAGCCTTATGCCACCTATATATTGTATTTTAAAGTGCAGAATAAGCATCATCCTCAAGTGTTTTGAATACCAACATTTCTTAAGATATGCATTCTGGTGAGCCTGTGTTTCTCTGCAGTGGTAGAAATGAAGGTTATTCTTGTAGACAACATAGAAGAGACCATACTTAGCAGATCAGTCCTGTTAGAGAGAGAGGAGTCTAGCATAGGATCGGAACAGCTTGCGAAATTGAGTCTTCTTTGGGTTCCCAGAGTTGGAGGAGGACTGACCTTTAATGACAGAGGGGTTAATTACTGATTGTGTCTGGTTTAAAGATCTGTGAAGTTCCTTTCACATCTAAATGTGCTTCCCTCTTATCTGCCAACAGGTACAACTGTAACTGCTTTAAAATTGTTTAAGAATCTACCTGTAAGAAAGCAATTTTATTCAACTGCTAAAAAATGTAAAGATGAAATAAAAAAAGTCCAAGATCTCCTCATAAGCTATGGTATACTTAAACCTGACTTAAGGATTGTTTTTGTACATAACAAGGTAAGCATTATTGTACTTCTGTAAGATTTTTTTGATATATGATATAAAGGGATAATGTATTTTATCTAAATCAGTTAGATATGTAAAGAGTCTTCTTTTAAAAATTTGTCCAGGGGCCAGCCCGGTGGCATGGTGGTTAAGTTTGCACGCTCCACTTTGGTGACCCAGGGTTCATGTCTTTGGATGCCAGGCATGGACCTACACACTGCTCATCAAGCCATGCTGTGGCAGCATCCCATATACAAAAAATAGTGGATGATTGGCGCATATGTTAGCTCAGCGACAGTCTGCCTCACCTTAAAAAAAAAAATCCACATTTGTTTAGTTTTACCTGTATTATATAAAGAGTATCTTTACTCTGTTACCTAATATCTATATGACATCTAATTGAACCTTTCGTTTCTTAATTTTTAAGGTCAGTGATTCAGCGAACAGACTTTCCCATCTAGGAAATGTTTGATTGCTTTCTAAATATGACAATGAGTAAGACTGTTGTTTTCCTTTAAGGTGTTCACAATTTAGTGACATTTTCACCTTCTTTTCTAAACTGTTTCTTCTTTGCAAGAGCTTTTTTGTTTGCTTTTTGAAGGAAACTCTACCTCATTTCTTTCCATTTTCAAAGCACGGCTGATAAGAAATTCTTGTTGCTTGATAAATCTTAGGGGAAAGACAGGTTTACATGTTTTCTGATTATTCTCTTTTTATAAAATTCCACATGCGCACTTTGAAACATTTAATGGAAGGAGAGCAGAACCACACAGCAGAAGTGTGGGAACCTGAAGGGGAGTAAGGAGTTAACATTTATTGAGCACCTATACAATGCCAGAACCTATGCTAGGTGCATTAACTCCTGTAATTCAGAGCAGAACTGAGTGAGGTAGACATTACATTAGTTTTGCTGTCGTCCTCTGACCTGAACTCAGAGAGGTTTAATACATTGCTCCATGTTGCACAGCTAGTAAATTGTCGTGATGGGGTTTGAAACTTAGCATGCCTACAGAGTGCAGGTTGTTTACTGTCTGCTGTGTTGTCTTCCCAATTTAATGCTGTGTTTATATGGTTCTTTTCCAGGTTTCAGAGCACTTAGAATAACTTTGTCAGTTAAATAGCATTATCTCTATTTGTGTGGGAAACATGAAACTCAGAGTGATCAAAGGAATTGTTTTATATTTTACAATAAGAAATAGTGCTGAGGTCAGAACTCTTTTTCATCCAGTTTTTTTCCTACTCCGTGTCTTTTTACTTCTTATTGAGAAGCTTCTGTATTAAACCAAGCTGTTGTGGAATATTTATGATCAAAAATCTTTGGTCCTCTTAAAAAAAATAAAAAAGAAAAAAAAAACATTAAGAATAGTCAGCCACCTGTTCCTGCTGGCATGGAGTTCAACCAAATGATACCTTAAGATCCCTTCCAGCTCTGCCGTGCTATGATTCCTCAGGATGTTGATGGATGGAGGCTCATCCTGCTAATATAAATAACCCTATGACCTCTTGATCCCAAGGACAGTTAGTAATTAAAAGTTGAATGTACCCAAGTTAAGAAAAGATCAAGGACAGAAGAAACAATGAGCAGGAAGGGAAAACAGATGGAAAAGGTAAAATATGAAGGTAGGAACTACATATTTATAAAAGAAAAGCAGGTATAATTAAAGGGAAGAGTTTTGAGTAAGAGAAAACATAATAGAAGAATAAAACAAGATTATTGCCTCATGTAATGGAAGTATTTAAATTTAAAGTCAAATGTATATTTTCTAAGCGTTGGATAAGTTTATATTATTTTCCCAACCAGTGTAAAATCATCAGTGTAGGCATTTTCTTTTGAGAATGGAAACAGTATTTCGTAATATACTGCATTTTATTATTTTTGGAGGATACTGTATCTGAAGTTATGTTGAGCAAACACAAGTCTCTTGCTGGCCTTCAGTAGTTTCAGATGCAGTTCAAGTCCTGGAGAGTATGCTGAGAGTGTTATACTAAGAAGGTAATGTAAGACGATCGAAAGTCTTGTAGAAAAGTGATTAGCTCTTATTACATAAGGAAATCATGGACTGAATTAGAACAAGCAGACTTTATCTTCAAGCTTTTTTCTCTTAGTACAAATTATGTTTCTACTTTTCTACTTCTTAATAGTGCTGTTGTGCCTCAACTGTTCGAATATATTGTTAAACCTCCCAAAATGGCATTGACACAATATCATAAATCTCTTTGAACCTTGAGTCCTCCTCTGCTCTTAGCCTTTTTCTTTTAAGCATGCTTACTTTTATCATTCTTTATCTGCTTTTCTGAAGAATTTTTTTTTTTTTTTGCCTTTGCTTAAAATTTAAATATGACACTGTTGGCTTCTTTTCTTTTTTTTGAAATTTTTTTCTGCATTAGAAACAAACAATCATATTGCACATAATATGAGAAGTACTATTGCTATTTTGACATCTTGGATTAGATAGTGTTCCTTCTTTTTATGAAGGTTTAACCTGCCAAGACATTCTTTGAATACTGATAATGTTGATGTTCTTGCCAGTATGGTTATGTTAGAAAGAGGTATTTTTCTTCTTTCATCACCATGTTCCTTGAAAGCATATTGAATAATGAGACAGCCAAAGACAAATAATTTACAAGTGGATTCAGTGAGTTTATTTAAAGTAGATATTATTTGGAGAAATGCTGGAGCCATTCCTTAGATGAGCACTACGGTTTTCGCTTTAGTTGTAATAGCTGAATCCCTTTGAGGTCCTGCTGTGTATATTTTCATTTATAAAGTAGTTATTTCCCAGAATTAGTTTTTCTTAATGTGATAATATCTGAAACAATTTAGTATTCTTAGCTATTTCATATGTGCATGAATAATTTTGTAAACCATCAGTTTGGAACATAATGTTAAATGTGTAATTTCAAGTAAGGAATACTTTCATACTTCATACTTGTCGATTTTTGTGAACATTTTCATTTGCCTAAAATATCAGTTGTGGTTTTAAAAATTGTTTTGAATTGCATTTTGTCTTTATAATTATAGGCCTACTGGTGTTGCAAAAGCTGACTTGGATATCCTTGATATAAGGAGGTTTTAGCTGTTACAAAATAGAAATAATTGAAGGAATGACTTCCTGCCCACCCCACCTCCATGTTACATGAGCGTTAAGGCTTATTGGGATCAGTTTGTTTATTTTGAAGTCTGGAAAAATGATGGCACAGCTTTGAAGAGTTGAATATCTCTGGTTTCAGTCAGTCTGGGAAGAGGCAGGGCCTTAGCTGGGAACAGAAACCCAGAAAACTGGCCATGGCAATTTGGTAGTGAGTATGGTGGCTCCCTCTCTAGTTTTCTGGGTCTCTAGAAGGATTATCTTTTGTGGCGGTGGCCATACAGTCTCTTTTACAACTATTCAGCTTTGCTGTTGTAGCAGGAAAGCAACCATTGACAGTAAAACGTAAAAAAACAGGCAGTGGGCTGGATCTGGCCCTTGGGCTGTAGTTTGCTGACCCCTGTTATAGATGATCTGACCCACTTTTGCATCTGATCTCATTTACTTCTTTCCTCTTGCTCGCTTTGCTTCAGCTAAATTGGCCTCGTTGTTCCTCGAACCTGCTAGTCATACTTGCAACTCAGGACCTCTGTATTTGTAATTCCTTTGCCTAGAATATTCTTCTGCTGTAAATCTGGCTTAATCTTCATCTTTGGGTCTTTACTTAAACCTTCTCAGTGAGGCTTTCTTTAGCCACCCTAAAATTGCTACCATTTCCCCTGCCCCATACCTTTTCTTGCTTTATTTTTCTTCTTAAAACTTAACACCATCTACTAGACTAAATATTGTACTTATCTTGATTTATTGTCTCTCTTTCTCTGAATATAATTTCCATTAAGGGAAGGATTTTTGATTGTTTTTTCACTACTGTATCCCTAGTGCTTACGGTAGTACTTCATGTCAGGTGCTCAGAAAATATGTGTTAAATGAATGAGCGTGATCCAGGATTCAGAGCATGGAGGACAGGAACACTGCATCACGTTGGTGCCACTAGCCCATACTGGATTGTGAGCTTAGGTGTTAAAGCACCTAAGATACAGGGGCAGATGGTGTCACTGAGGATTCAAGATAGCAACTGGAACAGAGAGGTGGCAAAACAGCAAGTGTTAGCTCTTATACTCGAGATCTTCCCTTTCCTTTTGGGGGACTCATAGAAAGTCACAGAAGAGGGAGGGCTGACTTTGGCCAGTTGGCAGGTGGGTGTTACTGATTCAGTGGAGTAGGATCAACCTGTAAAAGTGATCTCACCTATGACTTCCACCCCCCCACCCCCCCCATAGGTGGGTTATAGGGGGATTCTATTACAGTAGAATTTGGTAATGTGGGAAAATGGATCAGGATCATCCTAAATAGAGAAATAGTATGAACGTAAAAGATGTAGGTAGGAAAGCGCAGAGCACATTCAGAGGCAGTGAATAAGTCAGTTTAGGTGAGTAGGTATTTTGTATAAAGGAATAGAGGAAGATAAATCCTAAAAGATAATTTGAGTCTAAACTATAAAGGATCTTGAACGCTAGGCAGAATCTTTCTTTTTTAAGTAAAAAATTGGGAGTAGGGAAGTGACTTGATAAAGGTGTTACCTCTGACAGTTTGGCAGTACTGTGCAGGGAAGAATTATAGGAGGCTATAAGCAGTGACACTAGGTAGGAAGCTGTAGCAAAAATCCAGGCACTAGGGGCCTGAATTAGGATAAACATGTTGGGCGTAGAAAGCACAGAGTGTCTGTGATAGCTCTTAAAAGGAAGAGTCAGTGAGACTGGTTGGCTCAACTGCACGTAGAAAATGGAGAACAGAAAAGATTTGAGGATATCTGATTTATTTCACTTATATGCCTAGGAAAATGGTAATAGCACATCCCCTTTTTATCCCTGGATGGGTGCATCTGACTTTCTTCTGTAATATGTAGTTACCTTCATGAATTACTTTGACTTAATTTTGATTTCACTGAAAAAAAAGAAGCTAGTAGAATCAAACAAAACTTTT